ATATCTTTAGAATTTCTAATACACAGTTTTGCGCGCAGGAGATGAAAACTTTTTTTTTTTCCCTTTTCTTTTCCAGTGTTGTTGTTGCTCGCTTTGAAATTTTTTAGTTTGTTAACCAAAGATTCGTTAAAGTTTTACAAAATATGAGATAGATAATAAAACAAAGTCCAAATTCCAAATTTGGGCTTCCAGATGCCCATATTCGAGTGGAAAACTACGGTATTCAAAATTTGATGTCTCTAGGTACCGTTGTTTTTTCACAATGCGAAAACATACATATATTCATGCAGATTCTTCATTACTTAATTTCTTAAAATATACCGCACTACTGTAATATTTGGTGGCAACATTTTGAAAAGTGAAACACCGTTTTATAGTGAACGACGCAAAAAGGCAAAACGAAATTAACAGCTCTTTTGGGCAAACTGCCTTTTTGGGTCAAAAATAAAAATAAATGAAAAGAGGAGCTAGTTGTTGATGTTACAGATTTCTAATGTACTATTGATACACATTTTAAGATCCTCGTCTTTTTATTTTTAGCCCTAAAAAGACTTCAAGACTGGAATGGGATTTTGAACATTCTTGAAATGGGAAATTTTGTGTCATTCACCATAAATGGCTCTATCACTTTTCAAACTTTTGCCACCAAATATTTTTGCCCTGTATTATTTTTGAAGAAATTAAATAATGAAGAATTTGCATGTATGCATGCATGTTCCTTGCATTGTGAAAAATGACGGTACCAGGACCATCACACTTTAAATAAGATAGATCTCCATCAGAACCTGTGCACCTGGAAACCCGAATTAGCCCACTTCGCGTTAGCCCAGAAGGGCTATTAGTCTCGAAACGACATGTTGCGTCGAATTACTTTAAATGTCCGAATCACTTTTCAAATTGCTGGCACCAAATGTTATCGCCTTGTTTTATATTTAAAGGAACGAAAAAATGAAAAATGTATATGAATACATATATGTTTCTAGCATTGTGAGAAAACAACGTCATCAAATTTTGAATAACATAGTCCTCTAGCCGAGCATGGGCACCTGCAAGCCCGAATTTGAAATTTCGAATTTGTTTTATTGTCTATTTAATATTTTACAAAACTTTAACGAATTTTTGATTAAAAACTCAACATTTTCAAAGCTAGCAGTGGGTACACTGTAGGGAATAAAATATTTTTATCTGCAGAATGCGAGACTCTATATTGGAAATACTACAGATGTGCTATTTTTAAATATTTTTAGCCCAAATGTGGCATTAGCCCAAATTCTCTCGAAAGGTGTATGTATCTGTAAATGGAAAATAAAACGCCTGTTTAGGCCTAATATAAAATCTGAAGGCCTCTCAAATTTTTCTTTCTTTGTTTTTGACAAAATTATATGTTTTGCATTTTGTAAAACTTTAATAACTTTTTTTATAAACAAACTCAAAGTTTTGAAAGTGAACAGTAGCAATACTGAACGAAATAAAACATTTTATCTCCAGCGCGCGAGATTGTCTATCGGAAATTCTACAGATATGCTGTTTTTAATATTTCGTGATTTTGCTGTTGAATTGAATTTTATGTGCGTAAGTGCGAAGAACGTAATATTTAACAAATAAAGATAACACACAAAACATTCCTAATAAAATAAAATAAAATAAAATAAAATTAAGAAAAAAAAGGGGGTAAAAAATCAAAGCTCTCAGATTTTATACTACGCACAAAGGAGCCTTTTTCTCTTTCATTTACACACATACACGTTTTGACAGCATTTGGGATAATGCCCCTTTGGCTAAAAATATTTAAAAAAGCACATTCTTAGAATTTCCGATAGATAGTCTCGCGCGCTGGAGATAAAAGTGTTTTTCTCTTTACAGTGTTAACATTGCTCGTTTGAAATCGTTGAGTTTTTTAATCAAGAATTCGTTAAAGTTTTAACAAAATATGATATAAACAATAAAACTAATTCAAAATTCTGGCTTCTAGATGTTCATATTCGGGTAAAGGACTACGTTATTCAGAATTTGATGGCTCTAGGTACCGTTGCTTTTTGTACAAGGCGAGAAACATACATACATTCATGTAGATTTTTCATTATTTAATTTCTTTAAATATAATAAAGGCGATAAGATTTGGTGGCTACAATTTGAAAACTGATGCAACGCTTTTAGTGATTCAACTCAAAATGCCGTTTCAAAACTAATATGCCCTTCGGGATTAACGTCCCTTTTCGGCTAAAAAGGAAAGAATCATCAATTCACACAAAACTCAAACATAAGCACTTCAGCAACACGTGTAATCCAGGTTTAAGTCCGTAAAATTTAAACAAGTGCTTTGCTGCAGCGCCGCTTAACAAAGTGGAATCAGTGAGTGACCAAAGGTGTCAGTGAGTGACCAAAGAGTCCAAAGAGGCAACTTAAACATGTGTAAACAAACATTGTGATAAAACAATGGTACCTACAGCCATTATATACTGAATAACATAATCCTCCTGCGACTATGGGCATCTGGAAGTCCAAATTTAAAATTAATTTTATTGTCGATTTCCTATTTTGTAAAACTTTTACGTATTTTTGATTAACAAACTCAAGGATTTCAAAGCGAGCAATGGCAACATTGTACAGAAGAAACATTTTTATCTCCAGCGCGCGAGACTGTGTATCCAGAAATTCTAAAGATATACTCATTTTAAAATTATTTTGCGAAATTGCTGTTGAATTGAATTTTATGGTTGAAGTGTAAAGAATATGACATTTAATAAATAAAGGTAACACAGAAAATGTGAAAGAAATGCCCCTTTGGGCGTAATGTAAAATCTGAAAGCTTTCAGATTTCTTTTTAATTAGTTTTTAATCTTGTTTGCTTGTTTATGATTTTGTTGCAATAAAAATGTTTTTAAAGTTTTTAACCAACCTGTATGGATTCAAAATTTACACATTTTTTATTTTTTTCTGTATTGGACTGCTTATATTTGCAAGTTTTATTTCGTTACGGGGACTCGGTCTGCTGAAAATAATAATACGCTTTAAATTTATTTATGTTTTTGATACTATAATATTGCAGTTATTTTAGACTGCTCGTTTTGGCCTGTAGGGGTTGGACTGATAGAGACACAGATTACTTTAATTGTTTTCGTAGATGATTTTAAGCTTTAAATTGTGTCTTTATTTGTTTAGAAAAAGGTTACTTCTGTCGTTGTACCAACTCCCTGATGACGATGGAGCGAAAGATGTTCTTATTTCATTTTTGTTTTTGACAAGTTTTACCTCCTTTTCTTATAGTTTGCCAATGTCCTTCTGTTTTTTTTTTTTGTTTTTTTTTTTGTTTTTTTGCATATGTTTATTCGGAATTGAATTTGAGATAAATTTTAAACGTATTATATATATAGCAAAATTTATTTTTGCTATATATATATGTAAGATAAAAAATATGTGAATTAAAATTATAATTTAAACTCCCTCTTTATTCTAAAAATCGCAGTAACTTCTCTAGATTGCGTCATTTCTAGATCATTCTATGGCCTGCACAGCTCTGATGACGTTATAATTGGGAACTGAAACTACCTTGTAAACCGAAACTTTTCTCTTCGCATGCGTCCATCTTTCATAACTACGCACTTCAGTTTCTGTCTGTGCTGTCCTTGGACGCAATTTCGCTACTGCTGTAATGTAAATGTTCTTTAACAGAGATGATTGAAGTGCCAAGTGATCTGTGGCCACATAATGTCAATTGGAAATAAAAATGGAATTAAAATCGCCTCGACTGCCAAGTTTTATTTACGAAGCCAACACATTAGCTTACGACACAATGAAAATACTTCCTCTTCAGTATAGCGTAACTACGCATGTATTTTCCTTTTCTCTATCATATATACAGTGGCGTAGCTAGGATTCCAGCGCCCGGGGACAACTGAAGAATTTGCGCCCCTTTCTGTGTGCCATGAATCGAAAACATTTCATTACAAAATTTCGTAGCATCAATTTGGCGCCGCCTGCATGCTGCGCCCGGATATATATATATATATATATAATGATAGCACAATTCTTTTTGAATACTTGGTGATATGTAACAGCACAATAGAAGCACTCATGATAAGAACACTCAGATGTAGATGTGCAGAAATACTGATGGCGTAGATACTTGATGCTTAGAGCGTTAATGCATTTAAAAGAAGAAACAATCGTGACGGATTAAATTCCTTATTTATTTAAATTCACATTTTCGTGGACACAAATCACTTGAATACAGTTTCATTATTTGTTGCTATTTAACGTCTGAACTCAGATACATCTTCCAAAATGAGGGGTTTTAATCAAGTTAAATTTGAAAATGATGCTCTAATCGATTCTTGCAGAATTCTAATCCTAAATTCCGTCGTCTCAACTTCTATTTATAACTGAAAAATTATTTAGATCTGAATTATTGATCTCAAATTATTATACATCTATCGCAACTAAAACAGTTTTCGCTATTATCGAAAGGCTATTAGGCTATTTTTAAAAATCAACCATGATATAAACCAAAAATCTATATAAGCCAGCTTTAATATAAAGAACTGTAAATTAAAAATTTTGAAATCAAATTAAAAAAATAATATTTGAAATAAGCTTTGTTTATGATAATACTTCATTAAATTTTAGTTGGGTGAAGAGAGAGTTATTTTTTAAAATTCTATGTTTTTAGATCCATATTTATTAATGATGTTAAATTGCTGACCCATTCATTACCCGAGTAATAAAATCATGCTATGAAACAAAAAACAATTATCGGTTCTACGTGTTAATAATGTTACACAATTGATAACCTGTTAAAAAAGGAGTATGCAATGTAATAATTAATAATCAGTAAATTAAATAAAAATGTACCCCAAAGCAACAAGGATACTATCGTCGTAGCATCCCTGCCGGGATTCGAACCCGGGACCTTTGGATTAGAAGTCCAACGCGCTATCCACTGCGCTACAGGGACTACGTCTAACTTTTAACTAAGCAGAGAACAGTAGTTTTAACACAAATTTTCTTATTTATTATTTGTATTCAGTTGATTGTTAAAATATTCATTTCCTTTTTCTTTCATTCCCAATCAAGAATTGGTATCTTAGTACAAATATATTATACAAAGAAATATAATTTCTAAAATGTATGTAGTCACGTTATTCGTGAGTTCAAAGCAAATCATTGTTCTAATTTACGCTTTACTTTTGAAATTCTCTTCCTAAGAGTTGTTTTTACATTTTCTAGGAAAGACACTGGTATTGATTTATTTTGGAGATGCAGATCATAGTTTACCGAAGATATCCTATTTTCCACCCTCAGAGTCTTTAGAATTACAATTTACAACACGTGTGCTATATTTGCCATTTAGACATGCATTTTCTAATAATGAGTTTCTCATAAGTGGGAAAAAAAATCAAAGAACGTCCTGGAGAATTAAGTATATACGTAGTTTCGCAGTATTTTTGTTTACATATTTACGTATCTGTTTTCACTGTATCTTTTACTTAAGTAATAGACATCTTCAGCAACGTTTATCGTTAGAGGTGATTGAAAAATGGATGAATTATACAGTAGTGATGATTCTGCAGATGGTGAGTATGTAAAAGCCGGCTTTTTTCTTCTTTTTATTCATAAATGGGATCATTTCCTAATATATTTTTGAGTAACATTGTATACGTATTTTAGTCATAAACTTGCTGTTTACTATTCGGGAATATTAATATAATACATTATTTTTTGTGAAATACCTCTGTTTGTTCGCCGAGATACAATAAAATTTGGCAGTAAGCTATTTGGAATTAAACGGTTGACAGAAATTAAATGTGCATTTATTATTATTGTAATAATGTTTATTGTAAATTTTCATTATGAATAAAATTATGTTGTAATATATCTGGGAAAATCAGGTGTCTTGTAGGTTTTAGGCTGAGTAATGACAGACAGTTTTTATTGTACAAAATGTTTATATTAAATATGTGTATGATCTGAAAGAATACATCTCATTTACATAATAATGAAACGTAGTTGGATCAGCAGAAAAAGATACTAAGTTTTTAATATTTTTTTTTGTTTTGGTTTGGTTACTTGATGCTTAAATTGACTTTATACCAGCATTAATGATCTGCAAAATTTAACTTTCATTTGGTACTAATACCAATATGTTCAACCATCCTGTGTCTTTAAAATACTACAAGTTTCTTTTGTTTTAATGTTCATGCTAAGAGTATTTTTAACATTTTACTGCAAATGAAATAATTTTATTCTTCTGATATTGTGGAAATCAAAGAACTTGTGCTAGATAAATTTCTTAAATAAAAGGGGTGGGATTTGCCATTAGGAAAATGCATTTTCTCCACGATATTTTTCTGTATTTAAAGATCTTCTTAATTGAACATTAATAGGTGTTCAAAATCCGAAGATTTTAAAGGGTATCATCAAAATTAATTTACTGAGGATGTGCAAGATACTAAACAGATCTGATGCTGCTCATTTCGATTACATGAGAATCAACGTATAATTTTTATTATCAAGTATGTTGTGAAAGTTTGTAGGTCTTTCAGTTATTTGCCACTCTATTTTGATACAGTATTATTATATAGAAACAAAGATTTTCAGTATTACTCATCATTATTAATTATTCTAGGACTGTGTTCATAATCAAGTACATGATTAATCTTTCCTTCACTCTTTGCTACTGTCTCAACTCAATTGTTTACAATCTTAATATTTCAACCTAATCTAAATTATGTGTTTTGTTTCTTTGCTTATATTTATTATCTACAAAAGTATCATAAATTTTTTTCTCTAACTTAATTTTTGTTAAATGGAAGTTCATTTAATTTCCAGTTTCCTCTTTCAGCTTTTAATTTTAGCTAATCTTTGTAAATAGCTTGGAACTTAGAAAGAGCCCAACTTCCTATTATCACTCTACAAATATTCGCTCTGCAAGCTTGTACCGCTCTTCACCTGCTCCTAACACTGGTTCTGGATTCGTACTATTATCACCTATTCAATTCTTGCAAAAGAGCACTCTTTCATCATTGTGCTAACAATCATAGAAAGTTGACTGATGAGCTACAGTGGAATACTGCATTCATCCCAAGGACAGTAATTTGACAGATACTGCAATCTTTAATTCTTTAAATACTTAATTATCACATTATTGTAACACATGTAATTCTACATAATAAATAGCTGTAAGTTTCTTTGATTTTTCGTACAAATTAGTTACCATACTTTTTTATGCTAAAAGGCATCAGATTTTTTTGGAAACAGTCCATTGGTGAGGGCCCAGGGAAAGTTATTCCTGGTTAATCTGCTGCCTATTTGATTCACTTATTAAAATATTTAAAATTAGTCACAGATCAAACAACATTTGAAAAAATGATTGGAAGTTGATTTCATATTTGGACCATCAACAATTTGGGGAAAGTGCAGAATGACATATGTTTAACAATTTCACATACTTGGTATCCATGTATACATTGACCTATTTTCATTAAAAAAAAAAAAAATCCCAGAATTGCACAAAAATGCCATAGTGCATTCCCTTGACTTTATCCATGAACACATCGATCTATTTTCACTTAAAAAGTCAAAGAAAATTGACAAAAATCCAATTCTTCTTACTCTTGTAAAAAGCGCCAAACAAATAAGTGGGCGATTTTGCACTTTGAAAACAGATAAAATTTTCTGTACCATCTGACCTATATTATTACCAGAAGCATGAGTTAAATATATTTATAGTATATGATAAATTATTTTTTAAAAGTATATTTCTATGCATATTTTATGATAGAAGTATGAAATTTATAAAAATTAGAGTAATTTTCCAAAGCCATTGTTTCTATGTATTATCTCTTAGGTAGTCTGTCTACCCTTGCTTATTTGAATACAAAAATAACATTGATGGAGAATATCTAAAATTTTAATATATAATTAAATAAAAATATGCTACCAATATAGCAAGTCTATTATTATGTAAAATTAGCGGAGATTCTGGTTTCAAAATACATTGTTGCTGTCCAAAACACATTGCATTTGTGTTGACCATTTCAAGATCTTCAGGTATTTCATATTTTTAGATTTGTTAATATATTGGAAATACTTGAAGTGTTTTTTTTTTGGGGGGGGGGGAGGACTAGATTGTTTTAGATATCTTTCCATTTTTATTATTTGTATTGCTCTTTAATGCTGCCAACCAGTTGAACCATATAGAAACATTCAATAATATTTATCGTAATATTTTAAACTAACTAGACATATATATATATATATCTAGTTACTTTAAGACATTAGTGCAGTCATGATGTCATTTTGAAGTTATAATCGACAAAATATGTTTCTTGTGGTCATTTTGGAAACTTTGACATTTTAGGGCATAAGCCTTCACTAATTGCAGAGTTCTTTCCTTTTAAATAATCATCCGTTACATATTATTTTATTAATACTTTATTGTATCTGAAAAAATAAATTGCAAAATATAGAGTAATTTCTTTTTTCTCTAAAATTGCCTTGCTTCCGCCCTAGGAAAAAATTTCGACTGTTAGCAAAATGTTTATTTCATGGGAGCTGTAGGGGCAAAAATTAGTGAAATATGATAGCATACTTTAATATGGAACTTGTGAAATTTGAAAGTGGGCATATTTTGCTGTTAACATCTAGATACTGTCAATAACTACCAAAGCCAACCTTTTAAGAGATGAAGATGAATATTTCATGAATATAATACACAACTATTGTTTATATTTGATGTCTGGGTAAAACAGAGAGCAATGATATTATCTTTGGAAGTTTGTTTGTGGAAATGTTTAAAAAAAAAGCAGCCATGGGATGTATGTAATGAAAGAAATGAAATTTCACAAATTTAAATTATGTAAAAAAACTTTACAGAAAACAGTAATTTACAAATGTAATTAAATTATAAAATGTCACACACATTATATTAAGTTAAAAGGATAGTTCCAACACTGTAAGTACAGAAGTGTGCCAAGTAATATGTATATTGTCTCTAGTCACCATAGAGGAATTATGATATACAACATATGAATATATAAAGTTGCAGTATCTACTTTAGGAGTCCATTTATAACTTTCAGAGATGAGCTCCAAGTTATGAAATTTTATTTAACTTTTTCAGGTAGGTTTGCTAAAACACTCCAGTTGCGTAAAGTGTTAATGTAATATATAATCAATGAGAAAATTTTCTAAAGGTCTGAAGTAATGAAAATCACATGACAAAAGCAATTTGATACCAGGATATATGTTATTAAGCAAGAATATAATGCATCAATTTGGAAGGGATGTTTTGAGATTAAAACAAATTTATGGTGTTTTCATTTTTAAAAATAAAATGTAGTTATGTTTGTGAAATAATAAGATTTTCTGAATTTTTTCTTCATTGTTATGAACTGATATTGCCAGCTTTTAAGTGTTGTTTCAGGCAATCATGCTTTCGAAATGCTTTTAGATTGTGCATAGGAATGCAATAATAAAAGTGTTAATCTAAGAACAGAAAGCATATGCCTAATAATTCATATTGTTGAAAACTGGCTATTTGTTATATAAATAAAATGTTGATGTGCATGTCAAAACTATGAACATCACTTCCTTATAGAGTAAATAAATTAAAGAACTTTGTTCCCAATGAAACTTCAATAATATAGTTACAACGCTGGCTGAAATACTATAATAGATAAACAGTTAAATATTTTTTTCGTATTAAAATGTCCTGAAAAACCATGTCCCCCTGGAATATGACTGTTACGGATGGAATATGTCCTCTAGATTTAATAGCAATAAGTTATGTATGTCCAAAATTATCAATGATGCGCATGATCTTCATTATCTATGTCCTAAATTATCAAGATAATTTGAGAGATAATTTCAAAAAATTTCAATGATGCTCATGATCTTCGTTATCTATGTCCAAAATTATTGGGATGATTCGAGAGAGTTTCGAGAATTTTCAATGATGCATGTCAACTTCGTTATCTATGTCCAAAACTATCAAGACAATTCGTGAGATAGTTTCAAGAATTTTAAATGAGGTGCATAAACTTTGCTATCTATGTCCAAAATTATTAGGACGATTCGAGAGATAGTTTCAAGAATTTCCTATGATGCGTCTGAATTTCATTATCTATGTCTAGACTTAACGGGACAATTCGAGAGATAGTTTCAAGAATTTCCAATGATGCACAGTTTACTGATTACTAAAAAATTCTGACAGATTCCATTAGGTGCCATGCTGAAATACTGTATCAGTCAGGGCCATCATGAGAGATACTGATTATTCAAATACCCCTGAAATTGCAATCATATTTCTTTTCTTTCTTTCTTTCTTTTTCTTTCTTTCTTTTTTTTTTTTTTTTTTTTTTGTGAATTCTTCTATACTGGGTATCAGTAAAAATAGTCAAAGTTTTGGGAAGAAATGTTTAATGATTTCTTAGGTTAGGATCCAAAGATTCGAATGATCTCAGTATGTTGGTACTTATGTTAATTGTATGGAGAAACAAAATTACTTTTAAGAAAAAGCCTTAACAAGTTAATAGCTTTTTTTTAAATAAATATTCTTTCTGAAATTAACAGTTTCTCTGCAGTGCACGTTGATGTGTATCATTTAATTTATCCTTTGTAAAACACTGCTCATGAGCTAAAAAAAAAAAAAAAAAAAAAAAAAAACTCTAAATTTTCTTTTCAGCAATGATTTGTAATTTACTCAAATAACATTTTTTTATGTAATTGAAGACCAATGAATATGCTTCCGATTCATATTACTTCTACTAAAATAAAATAACGATAATTATAAAGGGAGAGGTATAAAAGGCAATCAGAAGAAAATATTTAGTTCAGAAAAAAATATTCCTCTACCTGAAGAAAATTACTCAGTTGCCCAGTACAAGAGTTTCAAATTTTTATTTTCTTGGGGCTTAGCTTTTTTGAACACAAAACAGTTGATATAAGATGTATTTATTCATATTTATATGTAATCATGTTAAGCACATATTCATTAATTTACTTCAAAAGTTTCTTTATATTAAAAACCTGTCTCATCATTTTTGAAATGATATAAATTTGGCCTTGCGGCTCTGGAACGTTCATAAACTCTACCATCGTCTTGAAGTTTGGCCATCCCTATTATATATATTTTAGCATCGCTAAAACATTATTTATCCTTTTATATTTTGTCAGTTACTCTTCTTCAAAAAATCTTTTTCTATTAAGCTTTTTCTTACTGTTGCCATTTACCATTTTTTTTTAACTCAGTCTTGCCGTGCCCAAACGTTTGAAAGGCCATTAGGTTACAGTAGATAAAACATCTACACATAAATAAATACACAAATGCAAGAAAGTAAAACAAAATGGATTCGATCAGGGCTTCATATCTGAAATGAAAACTGTAAAAACATAAGAAAATTAACTTATTTATAAAATTGTTATTTAAGAAAGTCATTTTCCATTTAATAAAATAACAAAAATAATTTATAAAATAAATTGGAAACGGAAGTAAATAAATGGCAGTAAGTAAACAATTGTCCCCCTTTCCCCTGGATTGAAATGCACATTTTCTCTTCTGGTAATGTGTATTATTTCCCACACTAAAAGAATTAAATCAGTAATTTTAGCAACATTACAGAAGAGAGAGCACATTAAATGTCAGAGTTTTCAAGACATAATCATATGCATTTAAATTAGAAATACATTTCAGCTTTTGTGGGTTCACACAAGGTTTATTTTTTAGAAAAAAAAATTTATAACTGAATTATTAGGTAAAATTAAAATATATCTGATCTTTTTCAGTTTAGTGTCAAGCAACTGGTATATGTAATTGCTTGACTATTTTAAAAATAGTTCCATATAATTTTAAAAAAATGTTATAATCTTAAAATTTATTATATTTCTTTTAGAGAGGCCTAGAAAACATAAATCTCCAGAACAGAGTGCTCAATCTGATGATGAACAAAGTGATCAAGAGTCTGGAAATGGACAGGCAGCTCATTCAGAACAAGAAAGTGAAAGATCTGATGCAAATGAAAGTGATTCTGATGCAGAAGATAAAAGTTCGCCAGTTCGTAAACAGAATGATTCAGATGATGGATCTCATGGTCAAGATTCTGATGCTGAATCTGAAGCACAGAGGTCAGATGCTTCTGAAGAGCAACGTTCTGAGAATGAATCTGATAAGCATGGGTCTGATGAAGAAGAAGCAGAGGAACATAATGATTCTGATATAGAACTTGACGAAGAGAGAGTAGCTTACAAAAGAAAATATCAATCAGCTCGTAGCACATCTCCTCAAAGTGAAGCACAGTCAGAAGCTGAGCAATCTGAAGCTGAGTCAGGAAAGCAGAGTCCAGCTGCATCTGACAAAGAAAGTCATCAAGGAGACCAATCTGAAGATGCTCATTCAGAAGCTGAAGCCAATTCAGATGCTGAAGCTCACTCAGATGCTGAAGCTCACTCAGATGCTGAAGCCCACTCAGAAGCTGAAGCCCACTCAGAAACTGAAGCCCACTCAGAAACTGAAGCCCAGTCAGAAGCTGAAGCCCACTCAGAAACTGAAGCCCACTCAGAAGCTGAAGCTCACTCAGAAGTTGAAGCCCACTCAGATGCAGAAGCTCATTCAGATGCTGAAGCGCATTCTGAAGCTCATTCAGATGCTGAAGCACATTCTGAAGCTCATTCAGATGCTGAAGCCAATTCTGATGTTGAAGCCCATTCAGAAGCTGAGGCTCATTCAGAGGAAGAGAAATCTGAAGCAGCTTCTGAAAATGAAGCATCTGACCATGAAAATAAATCAGGTAAATAATATTATTAATTAGTAACCATAAAAATTTTTAGTAATGTAGTACCATTAACAAAATAAAAAAATATTCTTTGTTTTCAGCATTTTCTGCTAGATGAATTTTAAACCTGAGAATAACTATTCATGTTTTATTCATAAGCACAATAAAAGTTTAAATTTTGGATTAGACAGTGTGCAGGTTTTCTTGGCTTAGGAAATAGAAAATAGAAAAAATAGAAAAAATAGAATACTCCTATGAAGCCATTCATAAGCTAAAGGGGCTTAAAGCAAGTATGGAAGTGGCATTTATTTATGTTGAAAAAAATTGTATATATGATGTAGCTTCATCTACTAAAATGAAAAGAAAGTAAGCTTATTAGAAGCTTAAAAGTCGTGGCAGTGGCAATGAAGCATTGAATTATAGGAGATTCAGTAATGAGAGGTACAGGGCCTATTATATAGGGAAGAACAAAAATATTCAGTTAGTTTTGTATCCATCAAATTACGGGACAATTGGGAGGTAACATTACAAAAATGGATTCTAATAAGGAATATGTCCAACCTTAGCTGCAATACATTGGTGGCAGCGATGTTCCATGCTGTCAATTAAGTTGTCGATCAGTGAAATGGGAAACAATGATCAGACACAGAGTAATCCTTGTTCAACCTCATCTAACGAGCTTGGAGGAGGACTTAAAGCAGTAACCTGTTTCCCAAGTTAGTCCCAAAGATGCTGTATTGGATTCAGGTCTGGGGATTGAGCTGGGCATTCCATCTGCTCCAACCATGACCCTCAAGCTATTCTTCAGCAACCTGAGCTTGGTGCGGTCATGCATTGTTGTCCATCAGAAGAAATCCAGGACCAATAGCAGCAGCATAAGGGTGGACATATTGATCAAGGATCTCATCTTGATATCTCATACTGGTCAAAGTTCCTCCATGGAAAACTTGCAGGTCAGTGTGATCAACGAGAATTGGTTGTATGTGGTGTGTTGTTCCTTCTAGGTCAGTCGATGAACTAAATCACTCTGCAGGTGAATCTGGACTCGTCTGTGAAGAGAACAGACTCTGTTGTCTGGTCCGGGAGATGTACTCTCTTGCCTTAACATAAATGGGCACTCTGTGTCCTTGGGTCAAGGGGGGCACAAACAACTGGTCGTCTTGCATACAGACCTATATTGTGCAGGCGTCTGCCCACTGTAGTAGCTGAGATTCTTCTTCCTGTTGCCACTGAATGATCTGCCAGGAGCTGAGGTACAGTAATGTTACTCCTCTTTCAGGCTGAAACGGTCTCCCACAGGTGTTGTAACTCTAAGTGTGCCTGGAACTTGCCTTCTAGACACAGAATCCTCATATTCAAACTGATTCCATAGTCAGTGGACCACATTACAAGAGACATTGAGACGTCTAGCAGCATCAGCTTGTGGCATCCCCATTTTCATCCATCCAATCACCAGCCACCTCAACGAATCAGGCAAACGACTTCTCTTGGACATTGATAGACTCTCCTGGATATTGTCCACGAAACTGTAATAACAATTGAAGGTCAGCACTTGTGAACAAAAATTACAATTTTTGCATTTTTTCTTCAAGTATTAATCCCTTAACTGCTGCGGGCGTATATATACGCCTTGCTCAGCCGGTGCGTTAACTGCCACGGGCATATATATACGCCCTTCCAAACTACTATCATTTGCTTTGCGCTGCTACCCATAAAATTATTCGCAAAGCTTTGGAATGCAAAACCACAATGACCTTGACAAAGTATGCGAGTACTGTTTTTCAATGAAGTGTGAGGAGAAATTGGAGAGAGGGGTGTGTCTAAAGTGATGAAAGTAGTGACTGTGCTGTATTAGCTGGTGCTGTTTGAGTAAAACGTATTTTTTAAAAAATTTTGTGTCCTTCGTTTTCGTTTACTTTTTGTAGTAGGTTTCAGGAATAAGGAAAGATATAACAGATGTTTCACACCCAATTTATCTTTTTTGAATTATTGCTTGATGCACTGCTCGTGCTTCATATTGTTATTGAAACTAACTGTTTTGTAGACAAGTATATGAACCAACACCTTGCAAACGAAAAATCAAGAACAAAATTGTGGCATTAAACCAGTTCAGAAGAAATATGTTTTTTTTAGGCATACTGATTTCACTAGGTATAACACTGAAATCTGATATTACACTTTATTGGTCTAAAACTGAATTGATTGAAACTCCATTTTAGGTATCTTTTTTTTTTGTTATAAAAACATCATTTTTATTATACTTACATCTTTTTATTATACTTACTCAAAACATTAAATTTTGTTCATTCATTTTTTTTATTCTTTATTTTGTGAAAGTAAACAGTTTTTAGAAAGTAAAACTTGCACTTATTTCCCTCCTAATACATCACATGTAAGTAGTCGCTATGCGCGCCTGTGTGAAAAGCCGTGGCACTGGGAAATGAATCTTGTACGTTTTCCGTGGTAGTTAAGGGGTTAATTTCTATAAAATAAAAATGGTAGCTATTGTTTTTGCATATATTTTCTTACACTTTGTTACTGTCATGCATATAAAATGTGAATTTAAATGTTACTGACATTTTTGTAGTAGTGATCTTGAAAAAACATGCTGTTCCTTAAGTTTTGGAGGGCAGTGTATCAAGATAAGAGTCTGTGTTCTTAGGATGAGCATTCTGTAGACATGCCTCTTTGCCTTCAGTGCCAGATGTATTTTTTTGAGAACTCCACTGCATTTCTGTGTCCTCTGGTTCCCATGGGAGTTCAGGCTGTTCTTATACCAAGCCAGGCAAGACTGCTGGAAGGTCACAGTTTCATACTGACTAAAGTTCATATTCCAACAAGATTTTCAGTGAATACTGAAACTTTTGTTAGAATATGAACTCGGACTTAATCCTTGCAGTCAAGGCACATCTCTTGTTACAGTTCATTTCCTCAACAATCATGGACTCAGCTTATCTGTACTGTCTAATGTCAGAGACTTTACCTTTTCATATTTATTATTTACCTGTTCCTCCTATCTATGTGAAGCACACTTTATTAATACATTATTCAGTTACATTTTATGAAATAAGTGTATTGGAAAGAATTTTTCAGTTAGTATTCTGTTAGATTTTAGATTTTGAAGTATTTTCATTTTACATAAGGCCTCAGTACTAATCAGAGTTGTTGAAGTTCATCCTGCTTTTCATGGCTAAACAGAGTGAATTTACAGAGTTTTGGTTTCCATCATATATAGTGTGAATAAAGGCAATTTCCTACAAAAGCATCTTTGCAGTTCAGTCAGATAAAAATTTTTTTTCTGTAATAAATTAATGTACCACATGATCACCATCTGGAAGATATTTTATTACCAGCTTTGAATTGTAACACAGAACTTTGTTGTTCTTGAATTTAAAGACAAAATTCTGCAAACTTGCATCTATTACAGACAAGTCCTTGACTAGGAAAGACACCAATTATTTTTCGAGCATGGTCACAATGGGGAAAGATGAGGTGTAGCTGATGATAGGGGATTTTATTGTAGAAGATGATGGGAACTTTTAAACAATTACAAAATCACTTGATAATCCGAACATATCTTTATTACTTGTTGATTGCTATACTCAGTTCATCCTAAGGCATGGCACAATACAATAGTTACTTGTTCATCCTAAGGCATGGCACAATAGTTACTTGTCATCCTAAGGCATGGTACAATACAATAGTTACTTGTTCATCCTAAGGCATGACACAATACAGTGGTGGCAATTTGCATCTCACAATTTTAAACTACACACTTTAATTTTTTTAACGATGGAGAAATATAACCAAGCGAGAGACATGCCTTATTCAGGCATAAGCAAACAGCAAAAGAGAATGCATATATTTTTGCCGGAGTATTTATAATCTCAGAGTGCTTTGTTTTATGCCTGCACAGTGGTTAGACAAGATTTTTTTTGCATTGGGGTTATTCCATAGAAAATGCAGATAACTTGAAGGGGGCTGTACCTTAATTGAAAATTAGAAATTTAAAGCCATTTAAGTGTTAATTATGTGTTTTTAAAATTTTATATTTTACGCACTCATAGGTATTTGAACATTTTGTTTTCAGTTTCTTAGTTTAAGTAATGAATGTAAAATTTAAAATGTTATGTTTTAGCTGCCAGTGACAATGAAGTACCATTACGAAACCGACAAGTCCTGAGCAGTGATGAGGACAGAGGTATATATATATATATGAATATATTATTTTGTTTTTAAGAAATTAAAATATTTTATATTCCTATTTATCAATATATAAATAAAATAGTGTAAATGCATATTTATTTATGCCTTGATTAATTATTGTACTATTTATTTTTTTAATTAAAATTTTTATCAGTAGCATAATTATTATACTACTTGAATAGATTCTGATGATGAAGCTGTTAACAGGGAGCAGCATTCTGCAGCTGAAAATGGCAAGTCCTCAGACAGAGATGAATCTGGCCATGGTAAGTTTTCAATAAATTGTGATGTTTTTGAAAAACAAGCATTTAATTGAATATCTTTTATAGGATCACGTTTTAACAAAATCGGAAGTTACAGCTACATATGTGTAAGTTGTGAGTATAACAAAATTGTGTAATATAGATGTCCAAAATGACCCAAATTTAATTTTCAGTCCATAGTTATTAAATAGCAGGTTATTTTTGTGCAGTACAGTCCAAAGTCTTTAATCCGGACATCCATAATCCGGAATGATCTATAATCCAGATTGCAAAGCTACAAACTTTCTACGCATGCGCATAATACATTTACGCATGCACGTTTAATGTATAACGGATGGTATAAGCTAGGTTAAAATTATCTAATTATCTATTTCAGTTAATGTTGCAGATTGCGTTGTTCTTTAATCTTCCAATTGGATCCGGCTTATTATTTTTTGCAGACTGTTAGAGCCATTTAATAAAAAGTAAGCTTGAACTTTCGATTATGTCAAAAAGAGTTTCCGATTCTGAAGTTTCCAAAGGATCCACAAAGCGAAAGCATATTTTGATGTACCGCTTCCGATAGTGAAGAAAGTGACAGAGAGGTTATTGAAAACGAAAAAATTTTGATTGGCAAGTTAGTCGGTATTCTCGACACAGCAATTACAGGACTTGAACAGTGGAACTGAACAAGAAATTATGTCTGTTTGTAGAATTAAAGAGAAAGTATTAGCACAAAAAGCAAAGCAACTTAAACAACTTACGTTGAAAGAAATGTTTAATAAAATAAATAAATAAATATTAAGCCTCTTTTTTGTAAATTTTGATACCCTTTAATCATAATTGCTCTATTTCATAAATTACGGTTTCATATTTTTAATTTTATAATTTCTTCATGCCATCTTACCAGATTTAAATCGATGATCTATAATCTTGAAAATCCCCTAATCTGGAATCGCCAAAGTCCCGACGAGTCCAGATTAAAGACTCTGTATAATAAATAGGCTGCTGGCCATTAAAATTGCAACACTGGGAAGAAATGATCTGACGAATGTCAAAATCACATGAAAGGAAGAAGAATTTGGGATATGCAAATTATTATTATTTCAACACATTTAGACAATGCAGGAGGAAGAAACAACATCTGAAGCCCTGCATAACAGAAAAGTTGTGTAGTGGATTTCTCATTTGGAGAGGGCTTTGTAAGGTTGGAGTTTGCTCAGAATGTGGTGTTATGCCTTGAATAAGAAGAGGAAATGCTTACCTGGAAGTCTCAAAATTCGATACAGGAAGGATTGTTGCCTATCAAAAGTATAGATTAGGGTTCCGCGATATCGCTGGTTGCACTGGTCAACATCCAACCACTGTCATGCCAATATGAAATCAATGGATTGCTGAGGTTCATACTAAATGGCATGCAGGATCTCAATGCCCTCCCATGACTAATGCCAGAGAGGACAGACATATTGTGAAGTCAGCCATGCTAAGCCATATGATCACATCACGGACCATTAGTCAGGAAATGGGCATGTTTGCAGCATGTATCAGTATCAGCTCTTAAGTTGCGTTGATGTTTGAAGCAACGTGTAGTACCAGTAGGACAACTATTACTTTGGCTTTCCTCGACAATGCAGCATAGAGAGAGAGAAGGCAATTCTGGTGTGCCAAATGACAAAGCTGGGTATATAGAAGTGGCACAATTCTCCTTTTCAAACGAGTCCTGGTTCTATGTGCAGTATTCTGATGGCTGTACACGTGTCTGGAGAGTCCGAGGAGACTGCACATCGCCTTTCAGTATCAGCATAGGGACCCTGCACCTGGTGTGGTAGTTTGGGTAGCCATTTGATACATGGCACACACATCTCTAGTTCGGATCAACAGTAATTTGGATGCAAATGGGTACATTTCTGGCATCTTACGTCCAAGAGGTTGTGCCCTATTTTCGAGGCCCTCAAATGCCATGTTCCAACAATATAATGCAAGACCACATGTTGCACATCGTGTTCTGACTGTACTTGATACACAGGGTATTCAGTTGCTGCCCTGGCCTGCACAGTCTCCAGATCTGTCACCCACTGAAAACATCTGGTGATGGGTTGCTGAGAGACTGGCTGGCCATCCCTCTCCAGCTAATACGGTTGGTGAAGTGTGGCATAGACTTAAAGCAGCATGGAATGAGTTGCCCATTTCTGTCATCCAAGCCCAGTTTGATTCCATGCGTAATGGGGTAAGGGTCGTTTTAGCTGCCAGGGGTGGCAGTTGTTTCTAATAATTTTGCACCCCTGTAAACCTCCAAAATGCTTAGAAATTTAATCATTTTGTCTTCATGCCATACTGTTTGCTTGTAATAAATATCTTTTTTATATTTGCTTTCCCTCATGGTGTTGCAATTTTAATGGCCAGCAGTGTATCTATCAGTAGTAATAAAAGTACCTTTTACCCCAAATTTGTACACCTTGTTTATCTCATTTATGAGCATATGTGCAGATATAAAGAGAAAAAGTAGTTATGCTACAGATATTTAGTTATTTTTTCATGATTTGCAGTAATTTGAAAGGAAAAAAAAAGTTAAATTTAGTGGTAAAACACTAGTGAAGTATTTGTTGGCAATAGTCAAACTCGCTGATTATTGATTCACTCATCACTGAGAGCATAGTCCATGTGGGGTAATGACAGTTGCACATCATAGGATGCAACTGGTATTATACCATCAAAAAAAGGGAAATAAACAGCAACAGATATCCCATGATTTCTTAGAGATTCAAATTTGTTCCAAAGAGTATGTCAACTGGCTCTGCTAACTACCCTACCAAACATAGCAGCCATTTGAGGGGGGGGGGAAGCAGATGAATCTTATAACTCAAAAATAAAATAAAATAAATAAATAAAAAAACAGTTATCTAAAATATCAAAACATCAAGAATTTATGTGTGCCGTGAATGCATCAAATGTATGTAGATATTAATCATTTCCTACTATGAAGCTATAAAATAAGTATTAACCTTTAATTGAAAAAAAATATGAATTTATCAAGATTTTAGCATTTAGAGCTTTACAGCTTGCATAAGGCTTTTTTCTTTATAAGTAAAGTAAATATGACATATAGATGCAGCATTAAATTGTATCTGCACTAATTACTGTAGTGTATATTTTTCTGTTAATAATTTAATAGCTTATGGCATTGCACTAAGAGTATAACATTTCACTAAATAAGTGAAAACTAGCATTATTTATATAATAAAGGTAAGTGTAAATGATGACTATGAGATCAGCTAAACATTGTTTATTCTATGCTACTAGCTATTGATCTATAATGCAGTTATGGTTAGCATGTGTTATGTGAAGTTACAGATACATATGTGACATCTCCCTTTTTAACAGAAATTAAAAGATTATACGTACCCTTTAAAAGAATGAGTTTTTACAACAGTTCTACCCAATCGAGTAACATAGTTATGTCCATTTGCAAAATTTGGTGATACAACACCACTTTCAGAATTTGGTGGCATAATGCTTTTGTTAGATGCAGGAGAATGTCTAATTTTGGAGTACTATTAATCTCAGGTTCTCAATCTTCATCTTAGCGACTTTCATTTTCATAACTGATTTGCACTGTAAAATCATTCCAATTAGTTCCTTTAAGACTCTCTTCTCTTTCTTTCTATAATTCTTCTATCGGTTCTTATAATTCTGTATGAACGTGGTCTTTCTTGCTTCTGTAATTTTCCCACTTTCCTTTAGTTCCTCCCCCCTCTCATTTATGTACATTTGATCTCCTACCTTCAGTGGTTTTAATGGTCGTGCATTCCTATCAGAGTAGCTTTCTTGTAAAGCTTGTCTTTTCAGTAAATGTTGTTTATGCTCTTCATATTGTTTAGTTTGGGTGGAATTCTCTTCTTTAAGCACCAGTCCATTCACTTCTCTTCCAAACATCAATTCTGAAGTGAGACTTAATTTCAAATGAAATAGAATTACTATATTCCAGTAATACTAAATATGGATCCTTGTTGTCAAGCACAGTTTTTTCTAACATTTTCTCGTCAGTTTGAATATGTCTTATCAACCATTCTATTTGATTGTGTGTAACATGAAGTTCTGATTTCAGAATTCCATCTCCGTGCAAATTCTTTAAATTTCTTGCAACTATATTGTAGGCCATTATCTGAGTATACTAGTTTTGTGATACCATTCCTTGCAAAAAATAATTTCAGTTGTTTTATCACTGTTACAATTGACAAATATTCCAAATGTCCATTTCGACATATTTAATAAAATAGTCTATAACTATCTGGTTGTAACGAAAGTTTCCCGCCAAAAAACATTCTTAATAAAGTTAGAAAAAAAAAAAAAAAAACATGAAAGCAGTACCTTTAGTGTGAGTAGTAATCACCACTCAAATCTATGATTTACTGCCAACGTTTTGGCAGTTTTTCAAACCCTTCGGCTCAGTAACTTGGTGGCCGCGAGTCCAAAAACAGATCAAACTCATATCGGACGTCCTGTGCAGAATGGAAGATAGCACCAGCAAGATGTAGCTACGGGTGTGAAAAAAGGTAGGAAGGAGTCGAAAGGAGCGATATCGGGGCTATATGGCAAAAGATCCCATTCAAGTCCATGCAGAATCCAGCCAGCGAATGCAGATACATGTGGTCTTGCATTATCTTAATGGAATATTAACTTTTTGTACCAGAACTCAGTTTGTCCTTGATAGCAGCGTCAACATAGACCAGCATTTCGCTGTACACTTTACTGTTGAGGGTTTCATTACCTTTTGGTAAATTTAGGTCCTCAAGAAGAGGGTGTGCTACAAAGATGTGTGCTGAGTGATGCACTTTTTTCCCTCACAATGAATTCTATTTTAATTGAAATCCTCTCAGCAGTAAGTGGATCTTTATATGTTGATGATCTCCAGATAAGCTGCAGACATGTGGATATATGTTGCATAGAAAGGCATTTAAGAATTGCTTTGGACAGGCTTGTTGACTGAATCCTTTTCTATCTGGAGATAGAAAAGAATTGAACTTTTTTACTCAAATCCTTTTTTTACTGAGAAGAATTGAACTTTTTTACTCAAATCCATTTGTGTCCATTTTTGTTGTAAAAGAAACTTACATTTTGATCCAGAGCCCTGCCTGGAAAAAAGCCTGGTTCTAGTGCTATAAGCAGTAAAATTTTTTGGTCTTATATTTGATAGAAAGCTAACTTTTCCCCCACACATTATAGAGAACAAATGTTTCCAGCATTTGAGGTGTAGATCACTCTTTAATGCTTCACATTTATGATTAATGGCACTAATTAGGTCTTAATTGATTATGGCACTAATTAGGCCTTAATTGGACTATCATTTTGGTTCCATCATGTGTGGTGCAGCATAGTCTTAGGCTTGACCTGTACACCACCAGTTTTTACAGTTCTGTTGAGGTGTTGTCAGGGCTTTCCTAGTGCAAAGCTTGTATGCAGAATATATTGAGCCATTATTAAAATTAATTTGCAACCATTTATATGTTAACTGTTACTTTAAGGTTATGTCATACCCATATCATCCTGCTCACATCCTTGTACATGATGGTTTCTATCTTTCTTTACACCAAGCAAGGCCATCAAGTATTTTACCTTTCAGTTTACAAATTTGCTTACATCTTGAAAAATATTCACTGAATGATTTGAAAGCTATTAGGATTTTTTCATGAAAACCAACCATGCAGCTAGGGTTCTCTTGGGACTGAAACTAGAGTGAACTCCTAGCATTCAGCAATCTAATCACTTGACTATTAATAATAATAATAATGGTGTCTATTAATAATAATAATAATGGGATAATGGTGTCTACAAAGTATGTGAGCCTGTAAACAGCCAAAAGATAATATAATAATGTAGACTTTTTCAATATCTGAACGAGTAATATTCCTATTTAAGTATGTAATGAATATTTTAAGTTTCGTTGTAATTTATTTTTAACAATAGGCTATTATTCTTTTATATTTTTTAGAATCTGAAGATGAAAGGAAGAATACTTCTTCAGCAAAATCTGAAAATGAAAACTCAAGTGCTGCATCTGAAGCTGAAAGTAAACCATATTTTATGTTTTGTATATATTTGTTTATTATTTTGTATTTGATTTAATTTGGCTAGAGAAAAGGAACTAACACAGGGGTCACAACTTTTTTCGGCTGCAGGCCAAAATCTGTGTATTAAGAAAACATTATGATTTGGTAGTATTTTCATTTTAGAGCAGTCTTTCCTGGTGAGTAATAAGATATTTTACTGTAAAAATAATTACAGTAAGCTTTAAACTTAAAACACAAAAATTATAATTATAAAAACAAACATAATTGACTTAACTTTATTTTACTTTTTGATATCAATGGCTTACCTGCTGCTGAACTTGTGACATCAATTTACTCAAATTATAATTAATCATCTTAAAATGAATGCAAGCACCTGAATTTTTGATAGTTCAGGTGCTCCTGTTCTTACTTCAAAGAAATTTCACATGTGAAAATATTTGCTCGCATTTATAAGTTGAACCGAATATGGAGAAAATGGCAAAGTCAGTTTTTTTAAAAATTATATATTATGGATCGGCATTGCCAAATTTATCGATTTCTCCTTGAAATTATGTTACAACTTTTAAAAATACATGTTCATCACTGCAACTTTGTAATCAAAGAGAAACGTTATTTTTATTATGTATTTTCAGTTTTTTTTTATGTATTATATTTTGATGGAAGTCACTTGGGCCACTAGAGACATTAGGTTATTTTCGATCTCAGAAAGCTGAAAAATACGCAATGCCCTCGCCGGGACTTGAAACCTGGACCTCTTAAATACGCACCTAGTGTGCTACTCTTACACCACAAAGGCATGGGCATGCGGAAAAGAGGGAGAAAATACCTTTTAACTTAAAAATTATGAAATGGGTCACTCAGTGATCTGTGGATCATAGGTTACTAAGGCCTTATCTAAAATATCTTTGAACACTTTTTGTGATAAAATTACATTTTGCCATAATGCACGTCACCTATTCCTTTTATTCAGTTTTTATAAATGCTTTTTGAATTATCATTTCAATCAAACTAATACATTTTGTAGTAATCCAGTAATCCAAGTCCTCATAAACTAAAATTGAAAATATTAGATCACAATGAAAGGCTACAGAAAGGCAAACACGATGACACTGGAAATAGCATATTTGATGACATTGAAATTGAAAGAGAGTGTAAATATTACTGTATTACTGTTAATTATAAGGATGTGGAGGAAGATTTTAGAAATTAAATATGAAATTAAATAACAAATAAAAACTTCTCTTGTTCAGATATCTTAAGGTCTTTCACATATGTCCAAATTAAGCAGTATGTACCTGTATTTACTTAGATTGAAAATATTTTTACTTCAAATGCTTTATCTAATAATTAACTTAGCATACGCTTTTATTATTGAGGTATTATTTACCAGATAAATGTTGTCATAAAAGCAGCTAATTTATTTTATTTGGAAAATTTTTTATATGTGCATATTAAAAGCAAGGGTAATGTCTTGAGATATATTTCCCATTGCAAAAAACATAAGATCTTTAATTTATCATCTTCCACATAGTTTCACTAATAACCAGTTCTCAGTGCGTTGCCATTCAGCAAAACATAAAATCTTTGAATTCATCTTTCAAATTCAAATTGATATTGTTTAATATTGTTTTACAAACAGCAGTTTAAAAGCAGTCAGTACTCTTTCTGTTAGTTAAAAGTTTTATTTTATGTTTTAATAATATATGTAACTGACATGAGAATTATTTAATTTAAAGATATATCCAACTCATAATTTGTATAAACATATTCAGCATTATTGTACATAATAAAAGATGTTTCTATTACCTTGTGTATTTCATTACAGGATATTTTAAATATCTTAATTGTGTAAATAAGAACTTGTTTCATGTATCAAAATATTTTTTATTGATACAAGTTGAATGAATGTGATGAGCTAAATAACCAGTTAAAAACACATCATGCTTTAAAATCGATTGGAAGCTAGCTATCTATTACATAATTGAATTATTATTTATGTTTTTTCTGTGCAACAGCAATGTTTTCTTTAGAAAAAAATGTAGCTTAACTCAAGTAGTAATGTTAAAGAGCAGTGATGTATGAAATAAATATACACACATGGTTCTTGTATGTGTGAAACTTTCAGTAACATTGTTTTTCTATTTTATTCTTCTAGATTCAGATGAAGAAATTAAGCCAAGAAAGAGACAAAAAATAAGCAATGATGATGACTTAGGTAAATTTTTACATAAATTTTGTGTATTATAGATGTTAGAAAAAAAATTATGACTAGTACAGACTTTAGATATAAAATTTCATGTCATTACCTATTTTGAATTAAAATATTATACACATATCATATAATGCAAGTATTTGGTGAGATTTATGTAAATGTTTGTTTTTTATAATTTATATTATGTATATTTTATAATTATGTATTTATAATATGTAATTATGAAACAAAGAAATCAGAGGAATTTTTTTATAGTGAAAGAAGCTATAAATAAATAAATAGCTAAAAAATAAATAAAATAATTTATTGAAAAGATTCGAGTAAATATTAATCAGGAATTAGCCTTTGCTTTTTATTATAAACAAATCAGTTACCTTAAGGAGGCCTAAGTTAACTGAGGGATTGCCAGCGAAACCTTTATTGATGTAAATTTTTTCGTCAAAGTTTATTAGCTAATGAAGAAGTAAAATAGTTTAATATTGATTATTTTTTTTTTCCCCCAAGAAATGTTTTCATGTTTCTTCCCATGCATAAGATATTTGTGAAAAAATTTTCTAACAAACTATGTTTGCCAAATTTGATGTCTCTTTATACTAAAAATATAATTTAAATGATTTGTTGATATATAAACTTTTTCTAAATGTGTTGATGTAAACTATGTTTCCAGATTCAGAAGAGGAGGTTCAGAAAAGAAAAAGCAGTAGTGGTAATGAAGATGCATCAGCTGATGGTAAATGTTTCCATGCTATTAGGAATATGAATTGTAACTGCAAAAGAATTCTCTGTTTTGTTGTTTGTATGCATTGAATCCATGCGTGAACGTTTAGTAATTAATTAAATTTTTGTACATTTTCATCATTTTATTTTTGTATATTGGTACCAAAATTTAAAATTAAGAATAGTTATAAATTATTTTTACTGTGATGAACAATATAAATTCTTTAAAATAAAATACAAACATTGAAAAATGTAATTTAGCTTTTATTTAGATACTTTTCCATTAAAGCCATAAGATGCATTTTCAACACCATAATGTTGCAGTTTGGCTTGTTTATTTCCCCATGTTTTTGGTGCAATACTAGGTGAAATGGAATAATTGGGTGTAGTAAAACGAAAGTACAGACACTCCCCATGTTACAAATTTTCGTAGATATGAACAAACTCAAAGAGTGAAATTTGTTTTGAGTCAAAAAAAAAAAAATAAATAAATAAAAAAATAAAAAACTAAATAATATAAAAAATGGTTGGTAAAATGAAAAAAATTAAGTTCTAATTAAAAATTAAGTGCAAAAAAAGGGCCACTTTGTTTAAAATAAAATCCTTTATACAAAAAATTCTTGGAAGTTGTGAGAAAATGGTGAAAGTTACACATTTAAAGATCAAAACAGTTCTTAGGAATAAAAATCACAAACTAGAACAGGTGCAGTGCTAATGCAGTCAACAGATCGATGTGTTTTGAAGAGCAACAGTGAGAAGAGGATGAAGAGCCTGCTCTAGTTAAAAAGTTTGATACAAAGTTAAAAGCAGTTGCATTCACTTTTTTGGTAAACCAAGATCCAAAGTCTGTGAGGTTTGTTAAAGTAAAGTCTGCAGTGCATGATGCCACACATTGCCATTGCTTTATTAACAATGAAAGAAAAAAATATCTTCAGACAAGTTTCTATACATATTTTCTTATACAGCCTCCTTGACACGAATGTCCCTTTTACATTGTCGATGAGTCTTCCGTGGGTGAGTCAGTACTGGTCAGACATTGACTCATCCCCACCCATGTAGAGATCTAATCCAAGGCCCATACTGTATAGTAAAATAAGCATTATTCATTTGTTTTAGTATTTTTATATGCTAGTATGTGTAGGTCTTGTCTTGTAAACATTGTTAAGTGATATGCATAATGAACCTTACCACATTTTATGAACAAATTTGATCATTTGGAACATAATTAATTTACAAAGTGGGAAATTATTCTCTAATTTCATGACAAAATCCTCAACAAAATATTAATGGAAGAAGAGTATGGCTTACATTATTATTATTATTATTATTATTATTATTATTATTTGGGGGTGGGGGTAATAAGACACATTTTCATTGCATCCATCATTTTTAACATAGGACGAACAAGGAATTCACTCATGTAATTTTCCAGCCAACTATTGTATTGTGATTCATTTGAAGCAAGCTAACTTTGAGTCCAAACACTTACCATTCCTCGCCAGACTTCCTTTACTTATGGCTAACAGTATAAGTTAAGGATCCTTACAGCAATAATGAAAGGAATGAGTAATCCAACAAACCGCATTTGTATTCAAAATATCTTTTTTTCTCCTTTAAGTGAAGACTTGCATATCCATTTTGGCTTTGAGTGGCAGTTAAATTTCTTGAGGTGATTATTCAAACACAATCTTTTTTGGGGGGAAGAATATCTCTTTTTTAAAGAAACAGGAAACTTAAAATTCATTGCAGTTAAAAAAAAAAAAAAAAAAAAAAAAAAAAAAAAGCAAGAAAAAAAGAGATTAGATTAAAAATAGCATTATGTCATTGAGGATTATAAAAGCAATTATCATAAGGAACAAAGCCAAACCAAGCTGGAGACCATTGTACCAAGAAAATACATCAGAACAAAAAAATAGTTAAGGGATATTGTTTTAATGAAAAAATATTATTATTATTAATTTTATATATTTATTTGTAGGACTTTGGGAAATGAATGGGAAAATAGTATTTTCTTTTCTTTCTTTTTTTTTTTTAATTGTTCCTTTTATTTTATTTAATAATTGATTAGTTTAACTTGTAACATGTAGGTAAACTGCACTGAAATTGCATGAGACTGCACCTTGCTTATTTTATGTCATATTTATCACTATATCTTATTTCTGAAAAACTGAATTAAATCTTACTGAAAACTCTTTATACAGAATCAGATGTAAAGTCTAAAAGGAAAAGAAAATTAAGTAGTGATGAAGAAAATGAATCAGGCCAAGGTGTGTATATTTTGAAAGAAATTTATATTATTCTTTCTTTCTCTCTATTTATATAAGTGATTTTAAAACTTTTTATTAAAAAACTTTAATGGGTGATATTAAGAGATGATAGATATTTTATTACTTTGAATTTTTAATATGATGGGACTATGTAAAAGTTTTATTTATTAATTGAACTCTTTCAATACACAATGTTGAGACTATTTCCATAAAATTCTGATGTCATGTTTTAAGGAATTTATTAAGGAAGAATATTTGTCTGGGATAAATATTTAAAAAAATAAAGCTCTGAACCACTTTTTCAAACACCTTAATCTGAGTATTATAATTGAATATTAATTATCTTCAATAATTTAAAATTATGAACAAATAACTTCGAAAAACAAAAGTATTACCAAAAGATATAGTATTCGTTACGAATGTATGCCAAATTTCAAAATTTAAGTTTTTTAAGTAACGTAAGGAACTTAAAGAGTAATTTATTTCATTAAAAGATTTTGTAAATTTGTAATAGTTTGATTGAAAAAAATACTGTAACTTGATGTAATAAAAATGTCAGTTGCAAAAAAATCATGTGTACCTAATAACTCTTGCACCATCAGAATTAACAAAGTGAAATACATTAACACAGCATATAAATTTATATAAATACAGACTTTAAAATAAAGTCATAACATGCAATAAAATATAAGATATTTTGTTATCTATTTGTTATTATGTTATTTATTTATTTGTGTTATATCTAATGGTGGTTGCATTTTTATAGGGAGAGATACCTGTAAAATAAAATCGTAAGTTTTATATTTAAAAACCTGAACTTTTTGTCGAATTGGAGGATTTCCTTTGGTGCGCTCCCAAAAGATCATGTTTATCTTATAGACTTTTCTTATGCATAATTCCTTTTATTTTTATGAAATAATCATTTAATGTTTGATATGCTCATAACAAAGATAAATAGGAAAAAAAAAATAAAATCCTGTCCTAAACTATTTCACATGTAATTTTAAGACAAATTAAAATATTGCTATTGGAGCCTTATCTGTGCAAGAGAGATGCAAACTAACCAGTTGACTGTATAACATGTTCTTTTAATCATTTAATTTTTGCTTTTAACTACTTTGCCATGTACAATGTATTTTTAGCATCTTTTATTTTCTAATAATAAATAAAATCTTGCTTGTAAACATGCTTACAATAATTGTAAATAAAATGTTTGTATATATTTTTGGTACTTTTGGAGCAACCAGTTCATCAAAAGAATTCGAATCTAAATATAAGAAATTTTTTTGTTCATAATTCCGTAGTTATTATAACATCAGTTTTGAAAAAATATTTTGGTTCTTTCATTTCTAATGCATAAATTTGCTGTGTTAAGACATATTTTGCAAAAGTGTTTTAAACATCTCTCTTAGAACTTTAACCAGAAAGCAATCTTCTGTTTCATGGCACATGCTTCCGAATATCCACTGTTCAGGTAATCCTTTTGGGCATTATTTTTCTGAAGTACAAATTCTCATTGATTTCAGAAATTGTATTGGGTCTTCCAGTTCAGGCTTTAGCATGTTTGATCAGATGTTTTGAGCAAACTTACGTCACAGTTATTCCATTCAGTAGTTGCAATATGGCAAATGTTTGTATTAGATTAATGTATTTTACCTGACTAACAGCAGGTAAAATGTGTGACAGTTGGAAATAAAATTTTTGATCCATTAATTTCAGTCAGAAATGCTCTTCTTTTTTTAGGCTTTCTTTACCTGTACAATAATATTAATTTTTTTTAAAAATTTCATTTATTTATTATTTGTCTGTGTATCTATCCATATGTAGATCCTATGCCAGATCTCATGTTTTCAGCCATTAGTCTTAATTAGGCAACCTCCCACTGGGGATGCCCAGTGGGAGGTTGATGTCAGTCACCTATTTATAGTGCTGACTGCTTTTCTCTAAACAGTTGATGCACCTACTATTTCCTTATGCAGCCTATTTTTGTCTTAGAGTTTCATTTCTATGATTATTCTAAAAAAACAGTGCATAGTAGAATTTGTTTTTCTTAGAAGGGCAGAACGAGTGTCTTTCAGTTCATGGTAAACTGGAAATAGTTTACATGTTTGTGGATGAAATGTAAATTTAAAAATCAGATCATGAATCACTCTTAAAGAATTCAATGCAAGAAGCTAATATATAAAAGATATGGGGGGGGATATCAGTGCAATGAAGATTGAATCATGAAAAGGTGCACATAAAAGATTTAAGGTATGACAAAAAAAAAAAAAAAAAAAAAAAAAAAGCAGAAGAAATGAGGATTGTTATATTAAAGGTTGTTAAGGTTACCTCTTTAGGTAATTAATTGTATTATCCCCAAAAGCCACAAGTACTGTCTTTTAATAATGACATTGAGGGGTATAAAAAGTAAAAATTGTGTATTCATATCATAGGTTTATAAAAAATACAAGGGCATTACAATGTTAACCGCTTGCCTAATTATCCCGGGTTGTATATATTGCAGTTAATTATTATCCCGAGAAAACTCGGGCAAAGCAGAATTTGTCAGTACAATTTGTTTTATCATGGTTTTACTCGACCTGGAGGAAATGAGAAGAAATATTCAGCTTTTATTGGCAGTTTGCCAAGTTTTGTTGGTTTTGCGGTTCTTTTGGTGGGACTGGTCACGTGTTTTCCCTATTGTCTAGTACAGTCAAAAGTCTTTAATCCGGACGTCCATAATCCGGAATGATCTATAATCCGGACCTCAAAGGTACAAACCTTCTGCGCATACCTTTACGCATGCACATATGCATCCATGCATGTGCATAATATGTTTACGCATTTACGTTTAATGTATAACAGACGGTATAAGCTAAGCTAAAATTATCTAATTATCTATTTCAGTTAATGTTGCAGATTGTGTTGTTCCTTAATCTTCGAATTGGATCCGGCTTATTATTTTTTGCAGACTGTTGGAGCAATTTTATAAAAGTAAGCTTGAACTTTCAATTATGTCAAAAAGAATTTCCAATTCTGGAGCTACCAAAGGATCTACAAAGCGAAAGCATGTTCCGATGTCCATCAAACAAAAAGTGGAATTGCTGCAAAAAAATGGATAAAGGCATATCCTTTGATTCTCTAATCATTCCGAAATATGTTTATCAATTTCACGCTGCTCTGCGGGGGGAACGACGCGGCGTGCAATGAACTGGAAGTTGATCTATCAGCACTATCCTTATCTTCAGGGCAGATGTTTTTATTTTATTCAGCTTATAATTCCTTACTAAATGTAGTATTTCATCTCGATGTACTTAAATCAAATTCCTCATCATTATAAATATCACGAATACAGATCAAATAGTTTTCTGGTTGCAATTTTCTAATTTCGACTATGCGTAATGTATGCTTTACACGTGCGTACATTGAAAGAAATGTTTAATAAAGTAAACAAATAAATATAAAGCTTTTTTTTTTTGTAAATTTTGATACCCTTTAGATCATAATTGCTCTTTATTTCATAAATTACAGTTTCATATTTTTAATTTTATAATTTCTGCATGCCATCTTACCAGATTTAAACTGATGATCTATAATCCGGAAAAACCGATAATCCGAAATCGGCAAAGTCCCGAAGAGTCTGGATTAAAGACTTTTGACTGTATACGTCGGCTTGTGGTTTAGTAATGTATAAAGAATGATACTTGCGTTCAAAAAAGTAAAATAATAGTGATGGTGGCAAGATAGCGAAAGCGATGATTTTTCAGATAGTGATTATAACCTCAAGGCATTTTCCGGATGTTATTCCTGCTACTGAAAAAAAAAAAAAAAAAAAAAAAAAAAAAAAAAAAAAAATCCAATGAGACAGTGTTTTCTGTGCTCCCATAAAAGAGATTCCAGAGGTTAACCAGTAAGAAAAGAGATCAGGTAACAGTGTATAGAATGTTAGGTTTCACTTTGTTGTCCCTTGTTTAAAAAAACTATCATACAACGACTAATATTTAATTTTTTTTTCATTTGCCTGAGATAACTCAGGATAGTAAACTAATATTAAAGCTAAATGCTTTTACACCTGTAAAAAAATTAAAAATTCAATTTAAAACATATATATTTTGTTTCATTTCATTGTATTTTATAATAAAATAAAAAAATGTGATGATTTTTTGCTATTTTTTTCAAAAATATTTGTAAGGGTTAAGTCACTAGTCATGATCAGGACACTGTAAAAAGACTAAAATTGATCTAATATTTTAATGTGACTTTATATATATAGATCAGATCAATATGAAATGTAAGAAATTTCTCATATAGTAACTTAATATCTGTATGAATTTCAGCATGGCAAGGATGATTGTTTTTTACTTGTTATATTTTAGATTCAGATAATGAACAAAAGAAAAGGAAGAAGATAAAGTCTGTTATTGAAGATGATTCAGATCAAGGTAATAGAATCTTTCACTTTATTTTAATATAATATTTAAAAAAAATGTGAAGAAGTTAAATATTGTACTTCTGCATAGGTTCTGATGCAGAAAACCAAATGAATGAACAGGAGGCATCTGATGGAGGTTTGTGCTTCTATTACTGTACTATCTGATTTCCTATTCTTGATGCAAACTATCCATTTTTTAATAAATTGTAATTTTACATTTTATTGGAAGTTAAAGAGGACACTGTAATTTATGTTACACAAAGCTGTGAATTTGTATAGAATTTTTATGTACGATTGTTGAAGGGAAATTATGAACCATTTTATGAACAAATGATCAAAGCTTTGTAATCCTGCATCATTCTTGTAGCTGGACTTTGCAGTATACCTGTGTAACTGATTTCCTGATTTTTAAGAAATTTTTTTGAGACATGTTAATGTCATCTTATGTTTTATGTTTGAAATCTAAAGCATTCATTAAAGTAAAAAAGAATAATTGTGCAATATGTAATGCATGTAAGTTTATAATGTGGAAAAGCACACCAGCCCCAAAATGCAAATCTGCAAAATTTGTTTTGATAAGTGCATTTAAAGGTTTGACATTTAGGTAACTAAGTTGTAACTTTTACATAATTGATATGTGTTTAGATTTCCATATATAACAGAAGAGATTTCTGGAAAAGGTATAATAGAATATCAAAATAAAGTAATTAATAACTTAATTCAAAATAATCTAAAAAAGCACATTTACAAGTACTTGTGTTGTGATTGGTGGCATAAATCCATGTCACCAATCACAACACGGCAGGAACCATTTATGGTTTTAGTCAATTTTTTAGTGTTTTATCATTATATAAGGTATGACTGTTGGTTGCTGGATGTTCTGGTGCCATGCAACAGCCATATTTATACTCCGTAGTAAAGGGAACAAAGATGTAACATTATCTATTGGCAAAAATATTAACAAAATCGAAAAATTAAGTTAATATGTTTTGATAATGTTAAAAGTTAATAAAGTAAGTGTAATAATGATAAAGTTAATGTTTCAATAGTTTTTTTTTTTTTTTTTTTGACTGTTTTGATTGTATAATTTTCAATAATTTTTTTGTGCAAATCCAGGTGATTTGCATGATTTACATTTCAAATTATTTGGATTTATTCAACAGTCCTTTGATAAATAGTCATTATTACCTTAGCACAAACACAGGTTATGTATGCCAAGTTTTCCAAAATCAGTATGATTTGACATGGATTTCATGTTACATCTTTCTGCTTTAAGTTTTGATTTTTAAAAGATATTTTCGTGTTTTACGATAGCTTATTCTTTTTAGATTTTATTGATATTATCAAAACTTACTGTACCAGTATTTAGGGATTGCAATTAAATAACTCGCAACTTTCTATTTTTAAAACTGCAAGAGCAATGGTTTTATCGACAATATTGTTAAAGTTAACTCATTTAGACTGTATATTTGTTGTTTGATCCAGCTGTTGCAAATAAATTAAGTTGTAGGAAAACATCAGCTTCCAATACCGTTTTCCTGCATTCCCAGACAGCAATAAATTCACATTTGACAGTGTCAAATGGTAATTCTGCCACATAATCTGAAATAGAGCTATCCTGTTTTTGATAAATTGATAAAAAGTAATGTTCTGAGACTAGAGGACTTTTCTTTGGCGCTAAAAATGCTCCTATGGAATTATTCGTTTCGATTTGTCTTGAAAAATATTTTGCATTATAAAGTTGTACCTTTTTTTATGCTAATTAACCAATTGTTTTATGTTTTGGATTTTTACTTTCACTTCTGCCTTTTGTTTTTCCATCGTAATACAAATTAGTTCGCATGTATCTAAGGTGAAGTTTTTAGATTGTACTAGTGTGTTTTGCCTTTTGATGCCATGTTACTAGATTGCTAGAGTAGGTAAGATTTGCATTCTTCGGCCTTGTATTATAACTGCTTATAGTTGAATATCTATGCCTGTTAAGAGCCAACTTCACATTAGTTGATCTGTGTAGCCATTGGCTACCAGCTTATTTAAATTAAATTTTACATTTGACTTAACTGTTATTTTAAGTTATCTTGCTGCAAGTGGTTGGCTAAGTTAGAAGCATCAAGTGTGTCTTCTGTTCTTATTTAGTTTTAAATAAAAAAAGTCTTTTATACCCTTCTCAAGTTTCAGTTGTTACTTTAGACGTAGTGATAATTTGCTGCCAGTCTATTTAGCATTTGGTCTGGTTTTGCCAAGTATCTGGGCCTTGCACCAGATCCTTCCAGACTTTAACAAAGTTCTCCCAAGCCTTCATGTTTAAACCAGAGGGGTTCGAGGGGTCACTACTACCTTTTTCATGAAAATCACATGGGGTGCTTACAACAACCTTGACCAGTAAACAGTCAGGATAAAATCCTTCCCTTACATCCCATAGGGAATTGCCAGGCTTATTGTTTTTATCTCCTCATGCCAAGACTGCCAGAGAACAGATCTTTGCCAATACAATGAACAACTGCCAGAGGAGATATTCAAATGAACAAACTTTTTTACGATAAATTTTTTGTCACCCTGAAGGTGTTGTTAAAACTGAAAAAAAGGAGCAACAGTACAGTTTGCATTGCCAAACTTTAAAAAATTTGTGAAAGACAATTATTGTGAAAGACCTATGATGAAAGTACTAAAGCAGTGAAATTATTCTCTTGTACAGTAACACTACATCCTGCATAGTTTGTTAAGAAATTATTGATATAATGTGACCTGTATATGTAAGTAATTTTTATTTGTTTCTTATTGTTATAGTAATATTGTAATAGTTAGTTAAATTTATGATGAACCTATTGTTCATCGGGGGGGAGTTTGTTGAAATTATTTCTTTTCCCTCCGATGGATTCATTTTTTTTTTTTTTTTTATCGTCTGTCGCCGACTAGGTCACGTGACTGGCGGCAGAGAAGGAATGTAATACTCTTTTAGTTAGCTTGAGGGCGACGCCTTAAAATGATCTGATCTTGGCCGCATAGCGGTAATTGTTCTTGATAAACGAATATTGGCCCTATGATGGGAAAATTTATAATATATGTATGATTGTGCTTTCAATAATGTAAATAATGTACATAAGCTCTTCATTAAATGTTTTGTTTTTATATAAAAAAATAGAATCGTGAATGGCCAATATTCGTTTATCAAGAACAATTACCGCTATGCGGCCAAGATCAGATCATTTCAAGGCGTCGCCCTCAAGCTAACTAAAAGAGTATTACATTCCTTCTCTGCCGCCAGTCACGTGACCTAGTCAGCGACAGACGATAAAAAATAAAAGAAAAAATGAATCCATCGGAGGGAAAAAGAAATAATTTCAACAAACTCCCCCCTGATGAACAATAGGTTCATCATAAATTTAACTAAACTATTACAATTACTATAACAATAAGAAACAAATAAAAATTACTTACATATACAGTCACATTATATCAATAATTTCTTAACATCAAGAAATTTTTTCTGA